ACCCTTTACTAAAGAATATATATAAAAACAGGACAAACAAATGTGATTATTGGACCCATATCATAGGGAAGTGTCGAAATCTGACGTGACATAATAAATATTAAATACAATCACACTGTTATAACAGAAATATCGGTGCATCATTGTTTTAAATTGGTTTATTCTTGTGGAATATACAGCATAAAGATTTCTAACCTGCTCTGAAGGATTGTGATTTTTGAGGTTGTACTTTTCCATCCCTTGTACTGCTGCTTTCATCTTTATTTTCCTCTCTTGCACCATAAAATCTCGTTCTAGAGAACCGATCAGGAGTTACTGATGATCAGATATGGATATTAAATAGAGAAATTCGAAGAATAGCTAAAACTTTTAGACAAATCTGTGTTAAACAAACATGTTTGTAACTTTTAGACAAGGTAACTTTAACAGTGAGTAAAATATAAAAGACAAAAAATTGAATCTTATATACAGTTCTTGCAACTTAAAAGCCTAAGAACTCATCCACGCTTTCATTATCAAACTGTGATCTTGTGACATCGTGGTTAATGGATTCCTTTCGGCAATAAATAAATAAATAGGTCCTCCCATTAAAAGATCAAAACTTGAGATGATTCTTTTATCTAGAATAGAAACTCTGAGTCGGAGAGTTCTAGGACTTGGTGGACGCCAATTGGGTTCACACCTGGCCGGAATAAATTTCCTTCAATGTACCTGCATACGTAAATTATAGAAGTTACTAACTTAGAGATGCATAGTTCTAGAAATTATGAGTTATGAGGAATTCAATGGAGCCAAACTCACATTTCTTTTAAGAACCGGTGCTTGTAAAAGGCATCGGGAATCCTCCCTGATAATTGGTTGTGATCCAGATACCTGAAACGTATAAACAACTCAAGTAACAGAAAAAAACTTCTACCTGTACATTCGAGCAAACTTTTAGGATACCATATTACTGTCTCTTGAAGACTACTGGTATTATTCCCTATTGGTAAAGTAGACTGGACAGTATGGCCACTATTAAAACTTAAAAATTAAGTTAAAATCCTGTTGATTGCAGTGTCGAGCGTAACAAGCATACTCTAGGTGATCAAGCAACTTACAACACAGCTCCTGGGTCTTTCTAGGTCTGTAAAACGCCGTAAAAGGATCTAGAGAATTTTACAAATAAAGAACATGAGCTCGGTTTAACAAATCTCAATCCAGTCTCAGTTGTTACTGGTACCTAATCGCAACCAAGTACTGAACCCCTCAGGTTAACATACATTGAAATCGTATTGACAGCATTACATACTAAAAGGAACCTCATGTAGATGAAAAATGGCACATCTTCAATTACAAAAGATATGCTACACGCTTTTACCATCTCACAGGGGTTTCAACAATTGCATATAACTAACGCATACAAGAAAGATACTGAGAAGCTTACTCACAGGTAAGTCAACCTAGGAATACGAGCAAGCCCAAGTGGTACAATTCCAGACATCTTGTTGTAGGATAAATATCTGTGAATAGAACAAGCAATTAAATTCATAAATCACAATATGAAATAGTAGCAGATCAAGCAACAGCCAGCTCAAAATTCAGTTTTATTAATACATTAACTTACAAGATCTCTAAGTTAGTCAAATTTGCAAGCTGTGCTGGAATGCCTCCAGTAAAATAATTGTTGTTAAGATACCTGAAATAAAAAATATAAAGAAAAGTC